ACAATCCAACTAAAATACACTTACCTGTGTTTCGGCATTCTTTTTTCTTCGACTGTTTATCGATAGAAACATATCTGCTAAAACATTCATCTTTTCAACACATTGCCGGTTACTTGTTTCAATCGAAACAACTTTCTTTCCCCCTTCTTCAACTGTCGCCGTTAATGTTTTCAAATTTCTTTGTACTAGTTCAACTGCTGAAAATATATCTTGAACAAACGTTAAAATTTGATCTTGATGTCCAAGGGCATCAGCTAACGCTTGATATTCATTATTTCCTTTTATTGATGCACTTTTGGATTGAGTTCTTTGATCTGTTGATATTCTATTTGATTTTGTTACTTCAATTCGTGGAATGTGTCGTTGTAATTCTTCTATCTTATCAGCAAGAAGTTTACTGAAGAAGTTTATGATAGTCACTTACCATCACGAATCTTAGATTTTTCGGTCAACATATTGCAACAGGAACGGTCGTTTTAGAAATTTCAAGTGCAACAAATGGCAAGACAATCGATATTTAAATACTGACCGCATTTTCCTAATTTGTTCCTAAGCTATAACTGTGTATGTTATTAAATTGAATTATTTTCTTCTTAGGATACTATCTGTCAACAAAAATGTATACATGCGGTTACACAGTTAATTTTATGCAGTCTTTGACATTAATTGTGTCAACTTCTCTGTTTTCTTAATAACTTAATCCAATAAAGACGAAGGATATATTCCATACATGTTAGAAAAAGAGGACATAATATTGAAGAAATATATTTTCCTCTGATCATTAAAGAATCAGCTGAAAAGACAATGAATGCGATTTCTATTCTTCTATGAAACTATCAAGAATAATTTTTCTCATCACTGTCCTATATCTCTCAGCAACATATCAGTACTTATCCGTCAGGCATATCTGACTAATCTCATATTTTTGTAACTTCAATTTTTGAACTTTTTCATTCTTACATGAACATTTCGATTCCATTTACTGTTTAATTAAAGTCCACTGTCCATTTTGTTAGAGTATAGTTTAGAATAAGTGTAAAGTAATGGCACTGTCTAGTGACATAGAAAATAAAAGAAAACATCTAACTTTTTTGGTACGTATTTACTTCAATCTGAGGAGTAGATGAGGTTTTTATTTAAGCATGTACTTTTAGGATCATGTCCGTAGTTTATCTGTCGGAGAAAATCATGTTTTTGTAGAACATTTTTGTAATCCAACCAGAACAGAATTGAAACCATTGCTAAAAGCCTTTCCGACCAATAAACCAAGAAAACATAAGGTGGGACCATCAACTTATTATGAACGTTTTCCAGAACTTGCTCAGGTACCTCTAAAGAAAAACCCAAACTTTTAATCAGCTAAAAAGTTCGTTTATTTTTCAATTAGGTTGCCACAAATATATTAGAATTGTATTCTGTTGGAGCGGATGATCGGCGTAGAACAGATGAAGTACATTATAATGGTTTAAGTATAAAAGAACTGAGAGAAGCCGTCGTGAACCAGTTAAAAGAAAAGTATCCAGATATACAAAATGTCTCATTAACAACAATAAGACGCTTAATGTTACCACCATGTCAAAATAGAAGAGCTGCCAAATATTATACGGGAAAAATAGCTGCAAAACGTAATTCAAGATCATCATTTATTAGTCCTGATTCGCATTTTGCTCGTGCACAGGTACAGTTGAGAAAAAACCGA